ATCCTGGATACAGGCATACAGAAGGTGGAGCCAGGAGCCCAAGGACCCCCGGCGGTTCCCCCCAAACCCACCCTTCCACTCTTCCGTACTGCAAACATCAGATAGATGACTCTGCCAACTTGACTGGACTGAGAAACACCCAGGAGGCAGCAGAGCAACATCTGGATATACCTGTGATGGTATTTCCAGGGAGAGTTAACCAAGCACAAAGAGACCAACCCTGAATGTGATAGTATCCTACAAGTGTGTGTGGGGGGGGGGGGGGGGGGGAATGTCCTGATGGGAGGAATAAGGGAGGCAGGCCAGGGGCACAGGCCTTTTCTTTCCCTCTCTCTCTGCTTGCTGGCAGCCATGATAACTGCCTATACCTTGTCTATACCGTCCCTGCCATTGATGGACTGAGGATCTAAAACTGTGGGCTGAAGTAAATTATTTCTCCTTTGATGGGGAATGTTCTTCTGTATATGCGTGTCTCTCATTGGTTAATCAATAAAACACTGTTTGGCCAATAGAGGCAGGAAGATAAACGGGACTAGGAGATGAGGAGAATTCTGGGAAAGGTAGGCAGAGGGAGATGGGAAGAGACGCCATGTAGTGGCCAAAGGAAAAACAGGTCCAGGCATCTTCCAGTAAGACAAGACCATGGGGAAACACATAGATTTATAGAACTGGGTTAATAATTAAGACAGAGCTAGCCAGTAAGAAGCCCTAGCCATCGGCCAACAGATTAACAATTAATATATCATCTGTGTGTGTTCATTCTTTAAATAGTTCTCATGAATTTGGCTACAGAAATGAAAAGCCAGCAGTAAGGATTTTTAGCAGCCAGACAGTGTGTGGCCATGACTCCCAAGCAAGAGGGATATTTGGGCTAAATTCTGGCTAAGACAGCATGAGAGGGAAATAATTTTCACACCTGAGTCTGTGTGGAGGGACTTTTCTTTCTCTAAACGTCTCTCTTACCATCCAGTTGGAACAAGGATATCAACAGCAATCACATGCCTCCTAAGAGGCAGAGGAGCCACAATGTGGAAGGAACCTGGGTTCTGAACCAATACATACAACCAAGCAAGCCACACCAGCATGAAGTGTTGGACTCTCTTTGTTACCACAACTAATCTCTCTCTACCTGCAACTGGGGGAAAAAAATCATTTCAACAGAGAGAAGGAAATGTAAAGTCACAAAACGGAAAGGAGCTTTGTGGTGATATCTTGTTTATACTCTAACAAATAAAGCTTGCCTGAAGATCAGAGAGCTAACCATAGAGGTCTGGAGGTCTGGATAGACAGGCAGGAAATGAGATGGCTAGGTGGAGACAGGGACTTGGTCTCTTTTTGGTCAGGATTTCGTATAGGCAAGAGTTCTAGTGGCTGGCTGCTCTGCTTCTCTGACCTTTCAGCTTTCACCCCCTAATATCCGACTCGGGCTTTTATTATCAAGACCAATTAGAAGTCATGTCACAGAGGTTCATAGCTTCAAGTTCAATCTGAGAGCTAGGGCAGCCTGAAGAAGTCCCTCAGCATGAAAGACACCAATACAAAGAATTCAGGGGCCACACTGCAAATGGCAGAGTTGTGAAACAATGTTTTCTTTGTAGAAACCAACATGTTGGAGGAAGGGCGCTGGTGAAGGTTTCTGTCAGGCAGGATGTGACACATTATTCTCATGAGCCACATCAACAAAGCTCTGCTTCCGCGGTGCTACCTGCCAGGATTACGTCCTAACCTTGATAGGCGGAAACCCAAGATTGGCATGAAAGTCTGCTACCTCTGCCACGCACCAGAAAATGATTAAGCCATGCTCAACGGATATCACTGCAAAGAAAAAAAATTCAAGCACCAAAATTCAAAACATCCCAAGTTCAGATTCCTCATAGTATTCCAATTTTTGTGAGGAAAAAAAAAAGGGGGGAGAAAAATCTCATTTAGGCTTATCTTGAATGGCATACTTTAGTTGTCTAAACTCCAACTGCTAACGTGAAATGATTTGGGTAAATCTGTGTGTAAATCTGAATTCTGTGGGAACAATCATCCATCCAGTGAATGTATCTTAGGCATATACTTAATAAACATCTACCAGGAGCATCAAGGCATAATTGCTCCCGTTAGGAAGGGGACTCACCCTGACTCATGGGTACGGAGGTACAGGCTACATAAGAGGTGGTTCCCTTTCCCAGGAGCAGAAGGCCCAGGAGGGACGGGCCTGGTAAACACAACCACGTGGCCAGGCTGAATTCACCCAGAGGTATCGGGAGGAGAGATGGTTCTGATGGATGGCAGGGAGGTTAACACAGAAGTGCGTGTAAATGGTGACCAGGTGGGGACAGAGAGCAGAGGTGGCCACAAGAGGTACAAGAGGCAGAATCTCGCTTTGTTTTCAAATAACCTAAATGCACCTACAGTTATCCTGCCCTAGAATTACAAACTAGTGCTCGGCTTCGGGAGAAGCAACCACAGAGGCGTCCGGAGGACACAGTGGGAGTTTTTCGATGATTGACAAGTGACTTATGTTGCTCTAGAGTGCGATTCTGGATTCAGAAACTTTCTGATTTCGGAAAGGTAACGTAACACATATGCTTTCTATCATACAACCTCGGTGGTCTGGGACATGGCCTCAGATGTTGAGGTGGTTAGGGACATGGTTCAGGTGGTCAAACACTCGCCTTGCAAGTGTAAGGACATGAGCTTGGTCCCCAGAACAAACAAAAAGGTGCTGGATGCTGGGCATGGTAGTACTCACCTGTAAGCCCAGCACCGGGGAGGCAGATGGGAGGGTACCCAGAGCGAGGGCCAGCTAGCCTAATCTAATCAGTGAGCTTGATGGCTTTCCTGAGGATAAAAACCTAAGGGTTGTTCAATGGCCTCCAAACTCATGTGCACTGCCCACATGTCTGTGCTCGCTATACAAACATGAGAACCTGAATTCAGACACCCAGACCCATGGAAAAGTCATACACATCAGCACACAGCTTAACTCCAGCACTGGGGAGAGAGACAGAAGAATCCTTGATCCGAAGCATCACTGAGAAACCCTGTCTCAAAACATAGAGTGGCCAGGTGATGGTGGAGAATGCCTTTTATCCCAGCTCTCGGGAGGCAGAGGCAGGCGAGTATCTGTGAGTTCAAGGCCAGCCTGCTCTACAGAGTGAGAGCCAGGACCACAAAGGGAGAGGCTATCTGAAAAATAAATCAAGTACACAGTAGCTGAGGTAGATACCCAACCTCTGGCCTCTGACACATGTGCACATACCCACGTGAACGTGTACATACACCACAGGCACACAGGAAAGCTCAGGGACCTGGGCATGGTGGCGCATGCCTGCAACCCCATCTACAGGGAACGCTGGGGCAACAGGACCCTTGAGTTGTATGCCAGCATGTACATGACAAGACCTTTTCTCAAACCACCAAAACCCAGAGGGCAGGGTGGAGTCAGGGAGGAACCACAGTTCATAGAGAAACCAACGCAAATAGGCTGATTCTTCCAGATCAGAACAAGAAAATGCCCAGTGGGAGTTCAAGACAGAAAACAGCACCCTGATCCCTTCCACAGGCCTCCTTAGCCCCACCCAAGGTGACATGAGAGAGAGTCTCGCCTCAGGGGCTGATCCGGGAACAAAGGCTGTTTCTAGAATACACACCTTACATTTAAGAACTTAACCCTCCAAGAACCAAACAGGGCTCCATAAGCTATGGAACCAGAGAAAACTATGGAACCATCCAAAGGGCTGAGCTGCAGGTCAGGGCTGTGGCTCGGTGGTAAAGCGGATAGACGCTGGCACCAGACAGAAGGAAGTATAGCAGTTAGGGTCAGAAAGAACGTGTATCTCCAGGAGCATTTCTTCTCCACAGAGACGTGCATCTTCAGAGTACATATGTTTTTAAGTTTCGTTTCTTTATCTGTGTATGTATGTGTGTATACGTGTGTGTGTGGGGGGGGGGGGGCTGGGCACACATGCATGCACCTGTGTGTACATCAGAGGACACAATTTGCAAGAATTAATTCCCTCTCATCTTGTAGGCCCCAGGAGTCAAACTCGGGTCTTCAGGCTTGGCAGTAAGCAGCCCAACCTGCTGAGCCATTCCACTGGACCAGGGCATGCATTTTTAGGATAAGATTGGGGGATACTGGTGTGCATTTTTAATTTACACTTAACAACTGTGCAGAAACCACGGGTTACAGTATGATGTTTCAACAAATGCATACAATGTACAATGATCGAATCAAAACAATTAACAAACTCACCACCTTCCCTCCGCTTTGCCTTGGGGCCACTCAACCTCTCCTCTTCTAGTTACAGTGAAGCTTGTAATAATTGTTAGAGGTTGTTGCCCTCCTCCGCTACAGGACACCAAAGCTTATCCCTTTCACCTAGCTACCCACAGTAGTCTAACTGGTCTACCCATTAACCAGCCCCTCCTCTCCCTCTCCTCATCCGTTACCTGGCAACCACTATCCTATTCTCTGCTTCTTTGAGATAAACTCATCTGGCTTCCACCACACATGTATGAGAAGGAAACGGGCTGCATTTTCTTACATCAACCATGCATCATTACCTTAACTTTTAAAAGTTAAAAAGCAAGAAATGAGCATGGTAGCACACGCTTCTAATCCAGGCACTGGGTAGACAGAAGCGAGTGACTGATTCTCTGTGAATTCCAGGCCAGCCTGGTCTATGCAGCAAATTCCAGGCCGGGCAGATCTACATAACGAGACACTGTCTCAAAATTAACTGACTAAATTTAATTAAAGATAGTTAGCGACCATTCCCAATGAAATGACTTTTCACTGCTACCCTTTGTAGCCACAGTACTGGAGGCTGTTTCTAAGTGGGTCAGCTGTTAATCTTTAGAACAAGGAACAGGAGACATCTAGTCAGAAAATCGACTGAATGAGTGAGCAGTGTCACGGACCACGCCTGTAAGAACCGCTTTGAATCCATGGTATCTGAGTATCAGAGCCTGGGCTCGTTCCGCGGGGGATGGACGGGAAGACTCACCAGGTAAAGGTTATTTTTGTCCTGAAAGGCATACTGTAATTGGGGGATCCAAGGGCTCGTGCTCTGAGATAATATGTTCCGCTCCTCCTCGAAAAATGAAACCTGGAGGGAAAAGAAACTCTTTAGATAATTGTATTAGAACGAAATGTGAAGGGGAAATGGCCTTTGTCCTGCCTTTCAGTATAAATTGATGTTTCCAGGTTTAAAAAAAAAAAAAAATTCACTTAGCACAACGCTCAGCAAGTCTGGTAGCCTACTAGGCTCAGCTTTTTTCGGGCCCACATTATCCGTCCAGTCATGTAGGTAACGTCTCTCCTTAAGTGAATTAACTTATTCAGAGCTTAAATACCTTTCTCTTCCTCTCCACCTTCACTCCCTGAGCGGTTCTAATAGGTACCGTGAATCCAGGCCAGGTAGGGAAGTCGGACAAGGGGGCTACCAGATCATACAGGAGTGGAAAAGGTATCTGCAGATGGGTGTGGGTGGGGTGGGGCGGGCAAGGAGACGAGGCTATGGCCACAAAGGCAGGTGGGATTGTGCTGGTGTAAGAAACTGTGAGAGGGCTGGACGGGTGGCTCAGGAGTGAAGAGACTGGCTGCTCTTGCAGAGGACCTGGGTTCAACCCGCAGCAGCCACATCACAGCTCACAACCACCTGTAACAACAGTTCCAGGGGCTCCAACATCCTCTTCTAGACTGAAGACATACCCATGGCGCACATACACGCACACATATGCACGTGCTAATTTGTGGGAGTCAAGATTCAGTGCCGTTAAAGTGAAGGTTACCCGAGGAGAAGTCACTCACAGAAAAGGCAGGAGATCGCAAGCCCCTCTCTGAGCAAGACCCCAGACCTAACGTAACCGTCCGTCATGCCCGCCCCTGTGACCACAGCACGTTCAGTCCCACAGGTGCTGCTGGGTGGATATCTCACTACAATTCCCCTTTTAGTCTAAAGAAAAAGATTTAGGCTTGATACAAAACTATAAACAAGGATATCAAATATCAAGTATGCTCTAGAAGGAAAATGTGAGAAGACACACACTTAAGGTCTATTGCCAATGAGGTAACAAGAGCAAAAGGCAAGAGCTACAATGTGCACACAGGCAGAACATTCATACCCATGAAATAGATCTAAATTGTTTTATTTATTTATTTATTTCAAGACAGAGTTTCTCTGTATAGCTTTGGACTGGCACTCACTCTGTAGACCAGGCTGGCCTTGAACTCGCATAGATCTGGCTGCCTCTGCCTCCCGAGCGCTGTGATTAAAGGAACGCACCACCACTTCCTGGCTAAAAGAGTTACTGTGGTTTGGATAACTGCCCCACCCTCAAAGGCCCATGAGTTAAAGGCTTGGCCCTGGGCTCATGGCATTATGAGAAAGTCTCGCAGTCATTGCGGGGCAGGGGGAGGCGGTGATCTGGAAGGGATCCTGGAACCCCAACCCATTCATTTTTCTCTATTTTAGTGCCACCGACAAGATGAAGTTTTTCCATGGACTCTCACCAGTGAGGACACCCTGCCACAGGCCCCAAAGCAATAAGGGTGGGTATGGTGGCCCAACCTTTCACCCGGCAGCTCAGAAGGCAAAGGTGGGTAGGTCTAGAGAGGCTTCAGGCCAGCTGGGATTATGTGGCAAGAAACTGCCTTTAAAAGAAATGGTAATGCCGCCACCCGGCCCTACACTGAAACTTTCAAAGTATGAGCCAAAATAAACATTTTCTCTTTCTATGCTGGCTATCTTGCGTACGGGTGGTAGTGACAGGAAGCTGACTCACAAGTCACAAGCACAGGGAAGAGAAAGACTCGGGGGAGAGATGTAAAGTTGAGCTGGAGCTCCAGGTAAACTGTGTGAACATGGTTTTCCATATGAACACATGGAGGCAAATATGTGTCCGTCTATGCATGTGCCTGTATGTTCCCGTGTGCATGAGTGTACACACGGGAACATACAGGTGGCTATACTGTACACACAGAAATGTATTCCTTAGCCTGGCCCAGGGGAGAGGTCTAAGGGTGGCGACAGCCAATAGGAGCACAAACCCCGTGTTAACATCTTGGCCTCTAGCCAGACTGTGGTGGCACATGCCTAATCCCAACACTCGGGAGGCGGTGGCAGGCGGATCTCTGAGCTTGAGGCTGGCCTGGTCTACAGAGGGAGTTCCGGGGCAAACAAGGCTGTACAGACAAACCCTGTCTCAAAGAGAAAAATAAAACCTTGGCCTCTAATTTTTTATTTTTATTTATTTATCTGTATGTGTGTCTATGTGTGTGCCATGGACACACATACAGTGGCTCCCAATGGAACTGGAGCTTACAGGTGTTTGTGAGCTGCCCAACACGGGCGCAGGAGACCAAACTCAGGTCCCCTGCAAGAGCAGTGTGCTTCCTAATACTGAGCTGTCCCCCGGCCGGCCCCAAGATCTGGACTCTAAAGGCCATGTCCCCTAAATAGGGGGTCCCTGAAGACACACTGTGTAGGGCAAACCTGAACGTCTCTCACCAGAGAACGAGAAATGTACTCAAGAACGGGAGAAATCTGTCAGGAAGGGACAAGAGCCGATCTTGAGAGCTGCCTTGGAGACAGACTGCACTCATTGGCTAGAACAAGGAAAGGCCGGTTCACACAGTCCAAACAAACCACTACACCGAGGATTGCATAAGGAATAGTTCAGGGATTCTTCTGTCCTTTCCGGGACTCTGTCTCCATAAAACACTAAGGGGAAAGGAGCATCTCCCCCGCGGAGAGCGGCAGGCGCCACCTTCATCCGTGAGCCATGTGAGCGCACCCGGAAGGTGGCCGGCTGGAACCGAGTCACCTGCTGTGGGGGGGAGGGGGGAGCCCCCTCTCTGTGATATTCCCACTCCACATCTACAGCCTGGGTGTTAAACACAAGCGTAGCAGCTAAGTTTGAGTTTTACGTAACAACTGGCCTGCTGTCATTGGAACCGTGGAGGTCACAGGGATTCAGGAAAAAAAACAAAAACAAAAAATGAAGAAGCCAACTCAGATCAAAGAGACAGCAGGATTAAAGGCCTGGATCCCATTCTAGCAATGTGATTGGGTCAGCCGGTGAAACGTGAACGGGGTCCGAGGAACGTGCGTGATGGGTCATGGGGAAATATCCCTGTCATAGAACGCGTACACTAAGTACACAGGTGTGTTTTCGAGTCATTTGGTCCATGTGGACAGTGGAGGCTGGGGATGATTTTCCAGTGAGTAATTTTATACAGAGACCCGGAAAGACCAGAACACCACTTACACCATCAGACACTAACCGAGATTACTAGATGTTGCTATGGAGGTGTTGTGTAGCTATAGTTGATTGACAGCCAGACTCAGCAGCTCGAGAAGACAACCCTCAGTAGTCTGAGTGGGTCTCATCCAATCAGCTGAAAGGCCTCAAGAGCAAAGTTGAGGGTTGGGGGTGTAACTCAGTAGTAGGGACACTCGCCTGCCTAGCATGCTCCAGACCCCAAGGTCAGTCCTCAAAACCACCAAAAAAAAGTAGGGATTTAAAAAGAAAGGACAGGGGGCTGGAGAGATGGCTCAGCAATAAAGAACACTGGCTGCTCTTCCACAGGTCCTGAGTTCAATTCCCAGCACCCACATGGCAGCTTGCTCCTTAGTCCCATGGGATCCAGAACCACCCGCACGCACGCTGGGCAACATCCTACCCACCGAGCTACATCCCTTGCCCTGAAATGTTTTTAAATAGCTTGTCCATGTTCCCGAAGATCACCCTGGAAACCCCAGTGCTAAATCTAAGCCGCTTAGGAAGCTGCCATTCAGCCCAGTACTTTACGGCCACAGAGGGCTGATCCCGTTTGCTCACACAGAGAGGTGGTCAGGCAGCGCTGGGTCTCAACAGACCCCCCCCCACCCCGCGCCCGCCCCAGCCTCTGCTTGCTCACTGAACAGTGTGGTTCCGTCTGTCTCAGCCTTGAAGACTCCATTAAAGTAACTGGTCCCTGAGGAGCATTTCTGGCTGTCACAGCACTCAGTGAGAGCATGCTGGTCTCTCCCAGGTGACTGGTTCTGTTTGAGATATACCACCTCTTCGCGTCCTCTGACGCCTCCTTCAGCCTCTTCCCATGCTGCCCTTCTCCCTACGCATCTTTAATTCCCAAACCCTTACAGTGACTCCATTAGGAGTCCTGCTTTTCTCTTATATTGACCCTCTCCATCAGTGATGCATTTGCCAATGACGGTTGGTTTTATTAGCTCCTTGCATAAACAGGATTTAAAAAAGGAAAAAGAAAAAAAAAAAACAAAAAACAAAAAACAAAAAAAAAAGCCAAGGCCCACGCCTCTGGCCCAGTCACTTCAAGTCTCTGGCCTGGAGGAAGGCGCATCTGTTTGACTCTCGGTTGCGTGCCCACATGCGCCACTCTTTCCCACCCAAGGTTGCCTAGCATCGCGCATGGCGCGCTCCGTGAGTGAGCAGGGACGATGGACAGCATGCTGGACGGGGAGCTGAGGGAGCGCCTCCCACGCCTGCTAATCACAGGCCATGTCTTGTCATTGTCCCTATCTGCGAAGTCGCTCCCACTTTACGCTCAAACACAGAAGCCACGTCATGCTTGGACTCTGACAAGCAGCCTCCCACCCTCTCCCGCAGTTTCTTCTGTCTCAGAGGACAAGAAAGAAAGAAAAAAGAAAGAAAGAAACAACCGGCAACAAAAGAGGCATCATTGGGCTCTGTTACGGAGAGTGATGATTTGGATCGGAAACGTCCCCGGAAAGCTTGTGTGCCTGCTCCCTACAATACAGCAGGGTGCAGAGATGGGGACCCTGGGCAAGAACTGGCTCATGGGCACTGTGACCTCATCAATGGATTGATCCATTTGTGGATTAATAACAGAAAGGGCTACTGGGAAACGGTAGGAGGCCGTGCCTAGGCCTAGTTGAAGGTCACTGGCAGGCCTGCCCTGTCCCTGGATCTGCCTCCTTCTCCGCTTTCTCCCTGTCCCTCCTTCTCTGCCTCAGTGGCCACTTGCCCTGCACCATGACACTCGGCCTCACCACAGGCCTAAAGCAACAACAAAGCCAGCTGGCCGTGGGCAAAATCTCTGCTGCCATGAGTCAGGGCAGCTCACATCCCCCTCTAAGCTGGTTTCTCTCAAATACTTGCTTGTGGGGTGGAATAGCGGCAGAGTTCTAGGGCAGGGTTATGCAGGATGGCAGAAACGTCTTAATGCCACTGAACCCTCCAGTAAATGGCTAACGTGGAAACACTTTACCTCATGTAGAGTTTAAAACGATGAAAAGCTACAGCTGTTGAGATTCCCCCTCAACTGTGGCCCTGCCCACCCAGGCTTCTTCATTCCTGTTAGCTCTAAACCAGTGAACACTCTCCTTCTACACACACACACACACACACACACACACACACACACACACACACCTGAGCAGTACCCCAGAACTCACACCTCCAGGATGTCACCCTCAGCCACACGTCTACCTGGCAAGTCCCCATCACTCCCCTGCCTCCATCCCTTCTCGTCCTAAGGACTTCCCCGACTGCCCTTGGCTCACCCACGACATCGCCCTTCACGCCACCGCTAATGAGTCTGCTAATTCTCCCTGCTCTGTGGTGCTTACACCTTCTTGGCACATCTGCATTCCCCTCCACATCTGGGGCTGCTATTCAACCCTGCAAGTAACAACCATGGGTCTCCAATTCCTTTTGCAGGCTTCCCACGGAGCTGGGTACATTATCGGGCACATGATGCCCGTAACTAATGAATTACTCTCTGAACTCCAAGGGTGACGGACGGACAGATGTCTCTTGGAAACACAGCCCCGTGAATCACTATGTCTGGAGAGGACAAGCATTCCTCAAAGGAAGGAAAAGGACAACTGGAAAGACAACTTCGTGACCTGCTATCAGACAACCCACTGGCCAGTCAGGGGACACAACTTTATTTTGACTTCTGCAAAGGCCTGCTCTAAAATTAAACACGTGTGCCCACAGGAGGAACGCCTAAGCATGCACACATGCGGACGCTGCTTGCTGGATCTACCCACCGTGAGGCGTGTCCCTAAGCTTACAGTACCAGGAGGTCCTCATAAGATCGTTAGCTTAAGAGCCCGGCGTGGCTCTAAAACAGAATGCAGCTACAGGATCAAGACCAAAAAAAAGACTGATGGACATCTCTGAGGCTGCAAAATCAATCAACACCAGCCTGAGGAGAGCTAAGGACAAAAGAGGCCTTTTTGCTGGTGTGCCTGTAATTAACGTCTCACTTAGCAGATTATAGTCTCGGTGGTGGACATTTGGTGGAGAGGAAGGGCCAGAGGCCCCAAAGCTCCTACCTGCTCCTGGGCCAGCACAGCCTTCTTCTTCATGATTTTCATGGCATAGACATCCCCGGTGGCCTTCTCTCTCACCACCTGCACTTGAGCAAAATGACCACAACCCACGAGACTTCGGACTTCAAAGTCTCTCACCGAAGGCTGCAGCTCCCGCAACTCGGCTACCGTGTCGGAATCTGTGAAAGATGCGAAGATTTACACCCAGGTTGGAGGAAAAAAGAAAAAAAAAAAAAAAAAGCACTTGGAATACATGCATCTCTGTGAAAGAGGGAGAAAAGGAAGAAAAAGAAAAAAATGTTCTGTCTCCCCTCCCTGTCAAAAGACGTTTAGTCACTTTCTCATCCATCATGAATAATTATAAAATCGGCACAAAAGTGTTTTTATCTGTTAAAATTAAGGGCTCCAGAAATTCTAAAGTACGGTTTCCATGGCAGCTATAATTCGAATGCTGTAGGCTTGGGAAATAAGAAGGGAGCACCCGTACCACGTTTTTCTTCTCCCCCCCCCCCCCCCAGGGCTGCGGGGCAGTGTTGGGGTCAAACAAGCTTGGCGGCATTTAGACTGCATTACAATGTGACATAAGCAACGTGACCCCTGGCCTTCCACCAGCTTTGGAGTTGATTCCAGATCATTCTGTTCTAGCTATGTGACTCGTGTACCCTTTCAAAGGTCCCTCCTGACATCAGGACTCTTGCTCGATGTCTCTGCCTTCTGGTCTCCCTGTCTGTCTTCCTGTCTAGCTCTAGCTCGCTCTCATGTCCTATGTTCCCCCTCCCCACAGGGAACCTCTTCCCTGAGGCCTGTACCTTGGCCTAGGCCTGCCAAGGCCCTCTGCCGCTAACCTAACCCTTGCACAGCACAGTCGCGGTCACGAGTGGCACATGAATTGTTATGAATTATCCAGCGCCAAATGTCTATTGTTAACTTCCAGGAATTCTCCTGCAAATGCAGAGCTGAATTCTCTTGGCTGGAAGGCAAATACCGTCAACTCCATGGCCCTGGTGGTCTTCTGAGCCCCGCTCTCACGCTGGCCATGCATCCAAACCCCCTTGCTCCCTTGGGGAACCACCCTAGAGTAGTGGGTGTGTGGGTACATTCACTGTGAGCACTGTTTTAAAAGGGGACCTGGGGTCATGGAGATGGCCAGATGAGAAAAGGTTATTTGATGCCCTGAGTTTGGATCCTTGGGGTTCAAATGGAGGAACAGGGAACTGACTCCTGCAAGTTTGCAATTTATCCTGACCTCCACACATGCACCATGACATGCATACACACATGCGTGCACACATGCACACGTGCACTCACACACACACACACACACACATATAAAATCAAGCAGAACGGAAGTGCCCACGCAAAGAACACAGCGTGAACGCAAACTTGGGAGCCACGCGGCATCTCTCCTTTGCTCTGGCAGGGCCATGCCAAGCCCTGTCTGCCTTCCCCTGACCAGTCCTTCATGTCAAGTGTTTGAGTACTGAATTGTAATTAGCCAAATGCGCTGGCTTGCAGCTTTCTGTTTCTGAACCTGACTTGGCTGCTGCTGTACACAATGCCAATCTCTCTTCATTTTCTTTCAGGCCTTGGGCCCCAAAATTGCTTACGATGTTGCACAACTCAGTAACAGTGGGCCCGTCACTGGGGACAACTAGGCATCTAAATCACCCACGTTAGACAAACTGCTTTGCGGGCAAAAATGATGATACCTTCAGAACTGCAAGACAACGTTCCAAATCTCTAACTTTTCTCCCAAAGGCTTCTGCATTATTAGGGTGGACAGGTGAGAAGCTAAAAATCTAGCCCCTGGCCTTTTGAAAGAGAGATGGGGGCAGCCCTTCACTTCTCCCCAGCTGCCTCTGTGACCCCAAAACCATACGGCTCATCATCACTCTGGACAAGATACAGTGTTTATGGGTCCAGTGGGTACTGAATATTGAGGCAAACCGAAAGTCACAGAGCACTGTAATGAAAACAGCCTGGGGTTGTGGCTTTATTAGACCGACCACTGGACCTGTGGGGGAGAGGGGCAAAAAAACCAGCTGACCCAGCAGAATTGACAGCCTCCCTCCCTGAAATTCGGGTCTAGGAATCCATCCTTCACAGAACCCTCAACACACACTCAGAAAAGATGTGCACGGAGAGACTCACGACAAAACTCTAAACCTCCATCGGCACCAAAATGGAAGTAATCTAAAGGTCAACCCTCGCCAACAGGAGCTTCAGGACAGCCGGGGCTATGTAGGGAGGCCCTGCTCAAAAAGGGAAAAGGAACATTCGTTTATTTTATTTATGAGCGGTTTCGCCAGCATGCATGTTTCACGTGCATGCAATGCCGTTGGAGGTCAGAAGAGGGCGCTGGATCACCTTGATGGTGGTGAGCCTCCAAGTCAGTGCTGGGAACTGAACCCAGTGCTCTTAACTGCTGGGCTGCCTCTCCTGCCCCATACCGCATACTTTAATGTGTCACAGTTAGATCAGGGCAGCCTTTTCCATCACAACGAGCATTTATCATTTCTCTGTCCCACCAGCACAGCCTCGGGGCTCCGAGACAGGTGCGAGGCGCTGCCCGAGGAGCTTGGCACTCTCCCTATACTCCCCTAAGAACTGGGATGATGGGAGGGACGGTAGAGCAAATGCGTAAGACGTTAGGAGAGCCATTTGTTAGCATTATCGAGCACTACGTGTTATGTTCTCATGGGTTCGCAGCCAGCACAGTAGGACTGTCTAGAACCGCGCCATCGTGAACATGCCTGTGGTGCATCGTGCTACAAGTCAGAATGGCTGCTGCATGCAGTGTGCCTGGCTGGTAGGCATCCTTTGGCTCACTGTCAGGCCTCTATCAAACACTGAGGTATGACGCCCAGTTCTACCCTTGGACCTGGAGTATCTAAGGCATCAGCTGGTGTGTATCAGGTCCTTGGCAAATACCTGCTCCATGACTGTGTTGCTAGGTAAGTTGGCAAGGGGCTGCTGTGACCTCCCTGAGCTCATGCGTGCAGACTATGCTATATCTCAAGTATACACAATTACGTGTGTCACTTTAAAAATATATAAATTATATGAGCATTTATTTTATGTACGTGGGCACCAGATTCCCCTGGAGCTGGAGTTAGATAGCTGTAAGTTGTCATGAGGAAGGACGCTGGGAACCAACCCCAGGCCCTCTGTAACAGAGGCAAATGCTCCTAACTGGTTAGCCATCTCTCTAGCCCCAAGAGAGAATACTTTTTAAAAGAATTCATAGGCAAGGTGTGGTAGCAACCCCCAGTGATCCTAGCACCTGGGAAGCAGAGGCAGGTGGATCTCAGTGAATTCAGGGCTAGTCCGCTCTTCACAGTGAGTTCCAGGGCAGCCGGAAATATATGGTAAAATCCGGTCTCAGAAGAAGGGCAGTGCCGAACGCCTTTAATCCCAGCACTCGGGAGGCAGAGGCAGGCGGGATCTCTGTGAGTTCCAGACCAGCCTGGTCTACAGAGCGAGTTCCAGGACAGCTTCCAAAGCCACAGAGAAACCCTGTCTCAAAAAAAAAAAAAAAAAAAAAAAAAAAAAGAGAGGTAGAGAGGTAGTAGCCAAATAAAGTGTCTAACCTAAGCCACCTCGGTTTGTGTAAGCATCCCGTGATGGCCACGGATGACAAAATCATCTAATCATGCAATCCGAACACACGGCCACAGTTAATCAAGGCAGGGCTGCAATGGAGACAGCAGTGCCTCCTCTGGTGCCCAGACTCTCATTCCTGTCCTCCACAGGTTCAAGGTCAGGGTATCTGTGGGCAGCTCCACATGTGGACACCCTCTCTATCCTATTTCCTCTGATAGCTCCAGAGGAAACCTCCACTCCTACAAGCGTGGGCAGTGGCAGCTGATGGGCCCTTCTCCACATGGGAAAGCAAAGCTCACATTCTGGAATAGAAACCAAAAGGGGTCGGGGTGGGTGTGGAACTCACGCTAACATAATCACCGGATTTCAATCACAGCCTCTTCAGGGCCCTCACCAGGAAGCCTCTTCAAAAAATATGAAACCATTTCCCAGAAGAACGTCTACCAGAAAAAAGTCTCCCCTCCACCGGCACCAGCCCCTGATTACACACCACTTCTCTGTGATTGACTGCTCTTAAGGGTCCCGGGGGTCTCAAGCCTAACGAAGGGGTTGGAGTGAGTTCTTCTATGTTCTGCCCCCTCCCGCCGCCTACTTGATAATTTACATATTCAAAAGAAGCCGGAGGAACATTCAAACAAGTGCAGGGTGATAAGTAAACACCTCAAGGGCATTTTAAAGACACACAGTGTGTGGATGAATCCCAGTAGATGCTGGTGGTTAATGGCTGGTGTCTACCGACAAGCCCGGCGTTGCCCTTACTGTGATGAAACAGCCTGACAGAGCAACTCAGAGCAAGTCCCCGTCATGGTGGGAAGGGAAGGCCAAGGCAACAGGGGCCCAGGGAACTGGCCACAGGGCACCCGCACTGGAAGGAAGGAGATGAGAAAAGCTCACTTTCTCCTTTTTATTGGGCCAGGGTGCCCGCCCAGGAAATAGCGCAATTACAGTGGGTGGGCCTCCACACAGGAAACAGTGTGATCACATGGGTCGGTCTCCCTACCTCAATTAACCGAATCAAGGTAATCTCTTTTTTTCTTTTAATCATTTATTTAATTTTATTAACTAATAACTGGTATGAGGGTGTCACATTCCCTGGAACTGAGTTATAGACAGGTGTGAGCTGTCACCTGGGTGCTGGGAATTGAACCGAGCTCCTCTGGAAGGGCAGCCAGTGTTCTTAACTGCTGAGATCATCTTTCCAGCCTAGTTGCTGGTGTTTGAAGACAGGGTTTCTCTGTGTATCTCTGGCTGTCCTAGAACTTGCTCTGTAGACCAGACTGGCCTGGAACTCAGAGATCCACCTGCCTGTGCCTCCCGAGTGTTGGGATCATGAGCTGCCGCCGCCGCTGCCGCCACCACCACCGGCTAGATGGCCATTTTACTGACATGAGGTGGTTTCTCGAATCTGGCATGGCTGACTACATGGTCCTGTATGGTGCAGATGCTTCATGGGACTCTGGCTCACCCAGGAGCACCCTCCCCTGACCCTGGCTGTGACAACCCAAAGTGTTTCTCTAAGAGACGCTGGAGGAGCAGAGCGCCCACTGACAGAAAGCACTAGTGGGCAACACTAGCTGTGGCACCAGCACCCACCTGCCCCACAGGGGAGTCAAAGTCAGCTGACCCGTGACATTCATGGGCCCTACGTCACTCTGCCTTATCAGTTACTTCTCCATCTAAGAAAAATTAAAAATGACAGACAGCAGTGGTATAAGTAAAACAATCCAGCTAACTATTGATATAGCACATTGGCAAAGCACGTGCTTACCATGAAGGAAGGGGAAAGGGAAGAGGCGGGAGGAGGAGGGAGGAGAGAGAGGAGGAGGAGGAGGGAGAGGAGGAGGGAGAGGAGGAGAGAGGAGAGAGAGGAGGAGGGAGAGGAGGGAGAGGAGGAGGGAGAGGAGGAGGGAAGAGAGAGAGGAGGGAGAGGAGGAGGAGGGAGAGGAGGAGGGAGAGGAGGAGGGAGAGGAGGAGGAGGGAGAGGAGGAGGAGGGAAGAGAGAGAGGAGGAGGGAGAGGAGGAGGGAAGAGAGAGAAGAGGAGGAGGGAGAGGAGGAGGGAGAGGAGGAGGAGGGAAGAGAGAGAGGAGGAGGGAGAGGAGGAGGAGGGAGGGGGAGAGAGCAGGAGGAGGGAGACATTAGGTTCAGATCATTACTGCATTCACCTATTATGATTTTAAAATTAAGCAACTAAAGCAAATTATGTTATTGAATGCAAACACAATGGCCCCTAAGCACTGCAGCTACTCTGCCTAAAAAACATGTTAGCTCAGAGTGAAAGAACGGAGAACAGCATCCCTGTCATGTAAGCCCCTGAAGGCAGTCAGGCCCAAAGCATCCTTGGATTTATGTCCCATGAGAACTGAATTTCTATCACTTGCAGTGAGAAGCCAGACTTTACACCTGCACAGTCTATGTACGCCCCTGGGCCTGTCTTATGCAGACCATGGCTTTCTGGGCCCTGCCACCAATGTCTTCTGCTTCCAGCATCCTCTTCCTCCACAGGGAGAGTTGTCGAGACTGGGTTCCCCTACTTACACTTCCGGACAAAGCTGCTCACGTGTTTCATCTTCATCAGGGCAGGCTGGCTGCACTCTTCAAAAAGGACAAAGAAGGCGTCCAGGACCCCTTCCCGGGAAAGGGCAGACTGCTGCTGAGTCACGAGGGGTGGCTTCCCCTAAAAACGGCAAAACAGCAGATGGAGATTCTGTCAATAATGAAAAGCTTTGATCAATAACATCCACGCAGAGTAAATCGCGAGCAACTGACTCAACTAACTGCTCACGACGCACTGGCAACGATTCTGGGGCCATTAAGTGATTATTTGCTTTATTTATTGGGTCCTTTGCTGTGAGTTTTTTCACCTGCATCTGGGGCTAAAAAAAAAAAAAAAAAAAAGAGTCCGCCAAGAGCGCCATCCCATCCCTGTACAGCGATCATTCCTTCCTAGAGTCTGAGCTTCATGGAAATAGTTACTGTGGACTCTGCAAGTCCTGGGATGGATAGCTTAGCTCTTCAATAGGAAACAATGATTGACACTCCTTCCCCGTACGGCTGGACCACTGTTAACGCAACTGCGGCCTCTTCTAATTCATCCCAAGTAGTAGGAATGGCTGCCTACCGTGAAGCCCAATTTATTCATCATCTGTGGGATCGGTTACAGATTGGCAGACTGTGTCTAGCCCACAAACATGTTTTGTTTGGCTTAAAGTATTTAAAATAATTGGAATTATCTGCCAATATTTTTAAATCAGATTTTACACACACAGACACACACACACACACACACACAATCAGAATGTCTGTCTTTTCCTGATGCTCTAGTCAGTCTGGCCCGTTTTGCCTGGTGATACAGCAGGGGCTGAGTGATGCTGCCCTCCTGGTGTCTGCTAAAGCTCGCTGCAGACTCCACTTCCCGTCTTCTGGCTGGCCGGCTTGGTTCATTTATGCGCACTGCCTGGCCTCTCAAGCCCCGGGCTGGCAACCCCTGGTTTAGAGCAATGATTCCCATGTGGGGCCATGGATGCGGGGCAATCTCTCTGTAAAAAGGAGGGAAGCCCAGAAAGGAGGTTTGGTTAGGAATCCAGGGGCAAGGGAGCAGGCTCGGGTGATAAAGTGCCCATCACACAAGAATGAGAACGTGAGTTCAGATCCCCAGAACCCATGTAAAACATCTGGGCATCATGGCAAGTGCCTGTCACCCCCACACCGGGGGAACGGGACATGGGCCTGATACATGCCTGTAATCCTAGCATGTGTGAGGCTGAGGCAGGAGGATTATGACAAAAGAGGTCCAGTAACAGTTTTAGGCACACGCCACATTTCCCTTCAGTGACCGCTATCAACCTGCACAGGTCCTGTCCCTTAGCCTCACTTTAAATAACAGCAGAGAGTAACACAGATGACATGACGTCGTGTAGGCTTCAAAGAAACCAAACAGCCTTTGCCTTGGGGGAGGGGGAGGGGCGGGGAGCCAGCTGCCACGCACGGAAGTTTAGGTGACATCTAGGGTTTGGCACACGACATACAGACTGTGAGCCAGACGAGGCCCACTGCCTGAATTATAAACAGAGTTATTATGCTGGAAAGTAGCCAATTCCCACTCCTTTACATTACGCCCGTGACAAATTTGGTGTCACAGTGGCAAAGTTGAGTGGCTGCCACCAGTGACCCACATAGTGGGAAATCTTCTATTATTCTCAGAGGGGAAAAAAAAACAAAAACCAAAAAAAAAAAAAAAAAAAAAAAAAACACAAGAGCTGGAGAGACGGCTCAGTGGTCAAGCACAATGGTTGCTCTTCCAGAGGACCTGAGTTCAATTCCCAGCACCCATGTGGCGGCTCACCAGTATGTAACTCCAGCTCTAGGGGACCTGACACCCTCACATAGACATACATGCAGGCAAAACACCAATGCACACAGAATAAATAATTAAAATAACAAAAGAGCCTAGGTAGCCTAGGTAAATAAATACGTAAATACATGGAGAGGCCACATGTGGGCCGGGGAATGGCTCAGCCGGTCAAAGTGCCTGCCCTGAACCCAGATGACTGAGTGTGGTGCCTGGAACCCACGTAAAAAGCCAGATGTAGAAACATGCCTGTAACACACACACACACACACACACACGCAGTCTTCCTGGGACACAGGCGATGGATGCAGGGGAGGCGACAGAAGCCTGTAGGCCAGCAAGCCAGGGATACACCGTTGGCAAAACAATAGAGACCCTGCCTCAAAACAAGGCGAAGAGGCTCACGACTCCTCCAAGTCCCGCTCTGATATCCGTGCGCGAAGGCACATGCCCACACGGGCCGTGGTCACACAAGCATGGGTGCACACACACATGATAACATCCCCATTTAAAACTTAAATGGGTGCCTCGGTGAGCAGTTGGTGCCTGGATTCTACTGACACAGGTGTAGTTCAGCTGACTGTGGCCTGAGTAACCCCAGCTGATGCCACGGGGTGCTGGGGCAAAGCCACCCATTGAAGTGCTGCCAAAGAGCTGCGCTGTGGTTGTTTGTTTTGAAACATGCGCTGTGGTTGTTTGTTTTGAAACAAGGTATCATTTTGCAGCTCTGGCTGGCCTGGAACTTGCTATATAAACCAGGCTGGCATTCAACTCATGGAGATTCGCCTGCCTCGGCCTTCCAACAGCTGGGCCTCAATGCCTGGCAGAACCCTAAGAAAAGGCGGCACTGTACCTTTAAGCTTTAGGGTTTGTTACACAACACTGGGCAGCATAAAAGAGCAGTGCTAGAGAATCACAGAACAGATTCTGTGGCCCCCATTCCCAACTCCTGCAATAAAACTCTCTAGACTGCAGTTTAGAACTGATTTTAACAAATTCCCCAGGACACTTGGTCCTGAGCCCCTGGGCCTTCCTGCCTGATCTTCGGTTGCCTCTAACTATGGGAAGTAAGTCTCCTTGTTTCCCTGTTCACCCGAGAGGTAAACCCAGGCAGACGGGGAGTTCCTGGAGGCTCAAGGAGGCTGAAGCCCAGAGCCCAAGAGCACCCTATCATACCTTCTCCAAAAGCTGGGGGGGGGGGGGGGAACCTCTGGCCCTTTGTTCTGACGATTTTTCTTACTCTCTCCATGTTTCTTAAAATGCCTGTTTTAGGAAATGAAAAGCCCAGAAAGTAATGGCTTCCCCCCCCCCCTTTTATTTGTTTTCTACATCCTTGCTTGGCAGCTTGGCCACCTGTCGATTTGTGTGGCTTCTGTGGCTCTGGAAGTCTGCCCTGTGTAGGAGGGAGCCCTCCGGAGTGGCCGCCCTTCGTGGGGACAGCACACCAGCCTCAGCAGGCACATCTGAGGTCAAGTCTCCGTACCCAGACACTTTGCCACAGCACCTTTCCTGGAGCGGGAGGCAGTAATTGGCTGCTGTCTGCCTGTGGTCTGTGCTCCAAGGGCTGATGTGCTGCAAGCTTCGACCCCAGTGTCAAAGTGGTGGGAACTTTGAAAGGGAGGAGGGGGAAGGAGGGGGAACTAGGGATGACATGTAAAATGAAAAAAAGAAATTAAAAAAAAAAGTTTTAGTCACAAAAAAAAAAAAAAAAGGTAGAATGAGACACTGTAGTAGGTTATCTGTCTTCAGGAGGGAGTGAGGCACTTATCTGGTCTCCAAGAGACAAAATGCTTTTCTTAACCTCGGGAGCCAGGGGCAGGGTATTAGAAAGGGCTCTGGTCCTTCCCTTCCCATCTTGCCCACGTGATTTCTGTACATGCTCCAGCCAGTATGGTGCCATTGTTACCGGGACCTCAGCAGAGCCAAGCAGATGTCATTGGCTTACTCTTGGGCCTGCAGAGCTGTGAGTTGTGTAACCTCTACAATTTATGAAGTACACACCCCTGGGTATATTGTTACAGAAAAAAAAAAAATCAACTAAAGTCACTCAGCATTAAAAAGAGACATAAGTGTCCCGGTTTGCTTTCTGATGCTGTAACAAACACTGACCAAAAGCAAGATGGACTGGGAAGGGTTTATGTCTGCCTACAGCCAGTCATGAGGGCAAGTAAGAGCAGAACTGGGGGGGAGAAATGGAAACTGTAAGAGCACATATATATATATATGACCACCTGCACAGGAGATGACTCTACCCACAGTGTGCTGGACCCTCCCACATCAATCATTAATCAAGAAAATGCCTCACAAGCTTGCCTACTGTAGGCCAAGATGATGAAGCATTTTCTCAGTTGAGGGTCCTTCTCCCCAGGTGATTCAGTATGTGTGCATTAGATTGACAAACAAACAAAAAAAAAAAAAAAAAAAAAAAAAAAAAAAACCAACCAGCACTGAAAGTTTCACTCAGAATCCTGCCTACAAGACATTCGAGGATAAAATATGGTAGATCGACTCTGATGCGTGATTGTAACGTGGCCCAGGGGTCTCGTGATTGACCTTTGAAATCAGACCGTCCTAAGAGGTCCACTGTATTATTAGGAGCTGTGAGACGTTAGAAAAGCCCCGTGTTTGCCCTATTCAAACTGTAAATAGCAATAGTTCTTTCCGTCTGTTAGGAGACTGAATTGAGAAGGATGCTGTGACAACATCGGCTACAGCTTTCTTTTTTATTTTAATTTTTATTTTACATGTACAGGTGGTTTTTTTCCTGTAAGCTTGGTGCCCTCGGAGGTTAGAAGAGGGCATCCGATCTTCTGGAACGGCTCTTTGCACAAGCCTGATTACCCTGAGTTTGGATATCCAGAACCCACCTAAAAGCCAGACACGGCAGCCTAAAGGTCTCTAATCCTAAATGCCCCCCCCCCCCAGGGGATGGAAACTGAGACTATCGAATCAGAGTCCTGGAGACAGCTAGTCTTGAAAACACAGCAAACAAGAGAGAACTCAGTCAAAAACAAACAAAAAAACAAGATACTCAAGGTTATCCATGGCCCTCCAGTTGAGTCCCACCATGTATGAACACAAATGCATGAGAACACACACACACACACACACACACACACACACACGCTCCTACCCTCATTCATCACAAACACACACAGAGTTGAGGCTAACCTCTGCTAGATAGCAAGGTCCTGTTTCAAAAAAATAAATCAAAAATGAAAAGCAGATTCGAAGAAGGTGTAATTAATTTACCCAAAGCAACACAACAAACACCTACTGGACTATAGTTTTCAAGTGTCAATCTTGACCACTCTCTATTTGCCTCTTGACTTATGAATGTGTGTGTGTGTGTGTGTGTGTGTGTACACACACACATATACATATATGTATATATATATATAGTGCTCCACATACATCAGCAACAAAACAACTAGAAAACTGTATGGAAATAATTTCACGGCATCTGTCCTTACAGGAGGAAGGACATGTCAGGTAGGTATCTCACAAGGGACATGGTTACATAGGTGCGGTATTTAATCTAAAGAGCAGACAGACAGCCACCAAGTGAGGTGGTGGTGCACGTCTTTAATCCCAGCACTGGGGAGACAGAGGCATGTGGCTCTAGTTTAAGGCCAACCTGATCTACAGAGTGAGTTCCAGAACAGTCAGGGCCACATATTAAAAAGAACTTATCTTTAAAAAACAAATAAATAGAAGAGCAGGCAACCCTTGATGAAAAAGCTGCTGTCTACCCTGGGGCTGGAGAGGCGGCTCCGTGGTTGGAGTGCATGTTCACTACTCTATCAGTTGGGACCCCAGCACCCACGTCAGGCAGCTCACAAACACCTGTAACTCCAGCTCCAAGGGATCCGAAGCCTGTTGCTGCCCTCTCCCTGGGTAACCAGCCGGAAAGACACAACACAGCCGACAGACAGACAGGCGTATGCACACACGCACCAGAAACAATTTTGGTTTTTTAAAAGTTCCATCGTTCCTTTCTTTCTTTAGCTGAAAGGACAAAGTTTAGACGTGTGGGTTGGGCGTCGGTGGCACACGCCTTCAATCCCAGCACTCGGGAGGCAGAGGCAGGCGGATCTCTGTGAGTTCAAGGCCAGCTTGGTCTGTGGAGCCAGTTCCAGGACAGGCTCCAAAGTCACAGAGAAACCCTGTCTCAGGAAAAAATAAAAAGTTTAGACACGTGAAGTGTGAGAATAACAATGAGATGTCCCAAGAGCGGGCCTAGTCATGTAACCATCTGCACAGCGGCACCTCTGTCCAACTCAGTCAGATCATGTAAAACAACCCCCTCCCCAAGAACATTAGTCTCAGCCTAGAAAAGGATCAAAGGCGGTAACCCTGGCAGTTGTGGGTGCACATGGTTGGTAGGCGACCTCTTACCTGGAAGAAGACATTTAGCCTGGAGGCCCGACTGGCAATGGGCTCAGAGGCGCTGGCATCCGGTGCATTCCGCACTCCATACTTGAACTTCAACATCTCTCCAGCATCCGGCGCTGAAGGACAATGGGGAAAGTCAAGTGTGCGCTGACATTCAGAGCAGGATCTTATCTCCCTAAAGAATCAGATGAGCAGGGTGCTGCCAGCCTCCACAGCACTGGGCAGGCACATGGTGCATACATACAAAAACAAAAAACAAAAAAACAAGACCCAACAGCCATTGTAGACTAGTCAGACTGCAGCCCGTTAGCCATGCTAATAAATAAACCCCACGTGTTTGTTTCTGCTCCATCCATCTGCTCTGTCCCTCTAGTGCATTCTGACGACTACAAATATCTAATATTTCATCTGCAACTTTACAAGTTAAAAAAGTATATGAAAAGTAACATTCGTAAATTACAAGATAAGAACTCTGTCTGAATAGATGTAACGTGTGAGCCAAGGCCTGGATGACCGACCGCCAGCCCTGCAGATCTGGGGAGAGAAGAGTGTACTGTCCCTGGAGGGGACAGAGGCCAAGGGTCCCGAGGAAGGCTTTATCACAGCAGAGAGGAAGATGCAAGAAGGGGCGCCAGGTTAGGCACGGGAGAGGATGAAGACATAGGAACAGAGAGGTTAAGACAGTGAGTTAAGATCACACAGATGGTAGAAAGTGCCATGGGTAGGAACAACACAGGCAAGGCTTACATTACAGGAGGCAGAGGCCACAGGGCACTCCGCCCTCTTTAAGGAGCCCTGAGCCTGGGGCAGCACAACCCAGGCTCCCCTCCACAGGCTCCCCCAGAATACCCCAGGGCTGTACCCGCAGATCCCGGGTCTACACCCACAGACCCCAGGCTGTACCCACAGACCCCCAGGCTGTACCCACAGACCCCAGGCTGTACCCACAGACCCCAGGCTGTACCCACAGACTCGGGGGTGAACACAGACCCCAGGGCTGTACCCACAGACCCCAGGCTGTACCCGCAGATCCCGGGTCTACACCCACAGACCCCCAGGCTGTACCCATAGATCCCGGGTCTACACCCACAGACCCCAGGCTGTACCCACAGACCCCAGGCTGTACCCGCAGATCCCGGGTCACCCACAGACCCCAGGGCTGTACCCACAGACCCCAGGCTGTACCCGCAGATCCCGGGTCTACACCCACAGACCCCAGGCTGTACCCACAGATCCCGGGTCTACACCCACAGACCCCAGGGCTGTACCCACAGACTCGGGAGTGAACGCACAGACCCTGGGGCTACCCCAGCACAACCCGGGCAGCAACCCCAGCAGACCCTCATGGGCCCCGCGACCCCGAGGCTCCCAGCCGCAGCAGGGAAACCGGGCAAAGGGGACGCCCCTCCCGCCCACACACACACCCAGACACCCGCACACACCTCACGAACCCGATCACGCTCCGCAGACCCCAGGCTTACACTCGCCGCGCTCCGCCCTGAGCCTCCCGCCCCAGCGTTTGAGGAAAACGGCGTGGGCGGGCCCCAGCCGTGCCCGACCCAATCAGCGCTCTCCATCTCTGATGGACAGCAGGGGGTCTCCGCCAGGACCCGCCCTGGTCTTGGAGGGCTGGAGGAAGTGAAATGAGAAAACCAATCAGATCCTGTCTCCCTGGACTGGTGACCAATAGGAAGAGGGCAAGGGCGTCCGGGCGGGGCAGGGCTGGGAAGTTTGAAATTGGCGGTTCGCAGGATGCTGTGCTGGGAGTGTGGGGCCGCTCCCGGAGAGCCCGAGGTGCCGTCCTTTGCTATCCCGGGCCCTGCGGGGAGCCTGGCCGCTCTACCCGGACAGGACAGCCTGCCCCTGATGTGATGTTAGGAACCAAACTCCACTCTTCTGCAAGATTGCAGCCAATCTCTCCGGTCTGCAGTGGGCGCCTGCCTGCCGCGTTGCACCTCTGGGTTGGCTGACCCGCATCAGGAAGATGAAGATGTCCCTACAAAGACATGTTTTCAGTACATTTAAGCCAAGATCATTAAGTCGCCCTTTCCTCCAAATGACAAAGCCCAATGACGTCAGTGTGTGGAAAGTGTCCAGCCTCGTTAGCAATCCGGGAAGAGTGAAAGGGGCTGGGGCTGTTTGTGTAGAGGCAGCGTCACTTACATCCACAAGGGGCAGAGTGTGAATTGGCCTAAGAAGGGGCGATGTCTGAAAGGGAGTTTGGCATTTGCTAACATCGAGGCTCTGTGCACTCTATGACTACTAGAAATGACTTATGAAACCGAGAAACGCATACAAGAAAGCAAGTTCAAAATAGTGTTGTCCATTGGTTCCCAGCACCCACAACAGACCCCTCACAACTCTCTGTAACTGTTTCCAAAGGGTCAAACGACCTCTTCCGGCTTCTGCGGGTACCTGCACTCAGGGCATATATTCATAGACAGACAGACAGACTTAGATGGACTGCATCACAGGTGTAAAATATTGGGATAGCAAAGCCTGGAGAAGAGGCACCTGGGGCTTTTCAAGGGACCATGAGGCCAGTGGCTCTCTGGGCAGCGCTGGAGAGATGGCTCAGCAGATAAGACCCCAGTCCTCTTTCAGAAAACTTGTGTATGGCTCCCAGCATCCATGTGGGGTGGTTCACAATCAAGTATCAACTCCAGCTTCAGGAGACCCAATGCCTTCTTCTGACTCCATCGGCATCCACACATCTCATGTACCCTCAGACCCACATAAAGCCACATAGTTTTAAAAAATAATAGTAAACCAATAGGTGGGTGTGATGGCACACATCTTTAATCCCAACACTCAGGAGGCAGAGGTAGGTAGATCTTTCTGTTTGACCAGCCAGCCTGGTCTACAGAGTGAGATCCAGGACAGCCAGAGCTACACAGAGAAACCCTGTGTTAAGAAAAGCTACTAGCCCATCAAGATTTGTTTGGTTTTTTGTTTTGTTTTGTTTTGTTTTAGTGATGTCTCAAGAAGCCAGGCCAAACTGAAACCCACTATGAAAGAGAAAGAGTTTAGCTCTGAGCTCCCTGACTCTGCTTTATGTGTCGGGTTTACAGGCATGTGCCTCTTAAACAAAACTAGTTCAGATGTTGCATGGACCGAGCTAAAATTCTTTTCTGAAATTAAAGAACACTAACATCCACCATAATCCTGAAGCAGCTCTCGAGTAGACATTATTATAATACGTCTGCTTTACCAAGTCATTCAAAACTTAAGAAATTAAAGCATCAGGGGTTGGAGCCTTCACTGTTTTTTCAAAGAACCAGAGTTTGGTTCCCAGCACCCAGGTCAGGTGACTTACAACAGGCTGTAACCCTAGCTCTAGGGGACCCAGTACCCTGTTCTTGCGTCCACAGGCACCTGCACTCACAAGTGTGTGTGCACGCGCGCACACACACACACACACACACACACGAGGGCACACGCGCGCACACACACACACACACACACACACGGGCACACGCGCGCACACACACACACACACACACACACACGGGCACACGCGCGCGCACACACACACACACACACACGCACGGGCACACGCGCGCGCGCGCACACACACACACACGAGGGCACACGCGCGCGCACGCACACACACACACACACACGAGGGCACACGCGCGCGCGCACACACACACACACACACACACACACACCACAGAATAATTATTTAGAAAGAAATTAAGCCAAAAGTAGGGGTAGCATGTGCCTGCAACCACAGCACTTGAGAGGCAAGAGGATCAGGAGTTCAAAGTCACCTTGACCCTTGACTACACACTGAAACTGCATGCAGCTTATTCAAAAGGAAAGGAGGAAGAAAGGAAGGGAGAGAGGGAGAGAGGGAGGGAGGGAGGGAGGAAAATTAAGTCGTACACTAGTAAGTGCTGGGGTTAGGATTTCAACTGGATTTTATCATTCTGAAGTCATTTGTCTGTTTGTTTGAAGGCAATTTCTCTATCCTGGAACTCACTCTGTAGAGCAGGCTGGCCTTGAACTCAGAGATCCGCCTGCTGCTGGAACCACTGTCCTTCTCTAAAGCCATATATATATATGGAATCTTAGTGTCGTCTGTCTATTTCTATCTACCTTAGCACCTAGCACAGAATAGATATTTATGAGTATGTTCAGACTGAAAGAGACTCTAACACCATTCCTGTTTGATGACAGCCTGGCTTTCTCATAAGGACATAACTTTTAAAGCATTGGTATGCACATTGAGACCACCATGGGCCAGTGATTTGGCTGAATTTGTAAAGGTGTCTGCAGGCAAGCTTGATGGCCTGAGTTCAATCCTTGGGACCCACATTGTGGGAGGAGAGAAGGGGTCCTCGCCACCTGTCCTCTGATCTTTCTGTAAATGCCACACCATGCTCTCTGTGTGTGCTTGCATGAACACGCAAATGTGAATAACATTTAAAAGGTAAAACAAGAAGAATACAAATGCATGGATCACACCAAATCCCAGCCTTGGTTCACTGCTCCAGTCTTGGGGTGTTTTAAGTGACTCCCCTAAGTGACTCCAATGTGTAATGTGCAGCCATCCCAAAGAACCACATGCCAAGAGAGCAGATGCACTGCTAACTAATTAGCAGAATGGATTGCAACCTTTTTGTGTGCGCAGTGCTGAAGGAAGACCCAACAGAGAAGCCATCCATGCATGCTTAGCATGCTCCATCCCAGACTGGCCGTAAATCTATACACTGGCAATCTGCTTTATCATCGGTCTTCATTGTGGTGGAGGGTCCTCTCTGTAGGGAGAATCTGCTCTCAACCTGGCTCAGTCAAAAAGTTACCTATACATTCTCAGCTTCCTGGAATCTGCTTGGTGAAATCAACTGAAGGTGATGGTCAGAAAATCTAACATGAAGAAACCAGGAGTTGGGGCCACAGCTTAAGAGTGCAGTTCATGCTTATCAAATGTGTTCCAGGGTCTGAGTTTGACCTTTGGCATCACATTAAAACCAGGAGCAAGTTGGTGGCGCACGACTTTAATTCCAGCACTCGGGAGGCAGAGGCAGGTGAATCTCTGTGAGTTCGAAACCAGCCTGGTCTACAAGAGCTAGTTCCAGGACAGCCTCCAAAGCCACAGAGAAACCCTG